GACCTCCTGATGGCCCCTGGTATTTTTGGCCACCGTGCGACACAGTGTTGCACTGGATGGGCCATTGGCCTGATCCAACATTGGCTTCTCTTATGTTCATATCAGGAAGGGACAGGTGCGGGGAATGAAAACCACAGGGATGAAGGTTGGTTCTTTTCAGACCGTCACAATCCCCGACCATATACCTGGTGGAACATCTCTGTCTTATGGGCCTTGTGGAATTGTTTCAGGTCCCACAGAGCCTGGGTCTCACTAGACAGAGAGTTCCACCAGGCTGAGGCCAGGGCCGAAAAGACCCTGTCCCCGGTCAAGGATAGCCGAATGGTTTTCGGGCCAGGGTTGTCATTGGCTGAGCATAATGTTCCTTGGGGAACTTACTGTGAGAGGGGGTCCCGCAGATATACTGGTCCCGGACCATTTAGGGCTTTGAATGGAACACCAGAACCTTAAACACTGTGATCAGTTCCCCTGAAGAAAATGGCTGCTTTGGAGGGTGCATTCTGCGGCAGTATACCCTGCTGAGGTCCCACCCCAAACACCACCCTCTCGAGACTCCACCCCCAATATTCCTACTCATCCACTTTGTGACTCTCTCCTTGTTTTACCTTTACAGAATATCACTAACGAGCTCCGGCGCATCGAGCCCGAGAAAGCGCGCAAGGTCAAAGAGTGCGAAGCCTTCATTGAATCAGTCCCAGACACGGGCAGTGCCACGTTGGTCAAGAAACGGGCAGAGGAAACCAACAACAAGTACAACTACGTGGTCCAGCTGCTGAGCGCCGCTCAGGAAAAGTAAGGGTCCCAGCGTGGTTTCTTCGAGATGGGTTAGGATACGGACCCATTAGGAGAGAGACCTGCTTGCGGACGTGTGAATCCAGAAGTGGGTAGAGGTGGGAGGCTTCAGTCCCTGTTCTGGGCTGGAAGGAAAAACCCTGGCTTTAGCAGAAACTGCTGTGGAACGGCAGATGCAGTCCACTTATAGAATGCAAAACTGTGATTCGGTGATAAGGCTCATCCGTCTTCAGATAGGCTATTGAGTCTCTGTCTTCAGATGGCAGTCCTGAATGAAACTCAGCTCACACGCCCAAGTTAAGCAAAGGTCTTTGCTCCACAAGCAGCTCCTTCGTGCCTGTTCTTTACTTAACAGCACAGTGGCATCAAAGCTGTAGATTTATGCAGCACTAGTGACAGAGGATCACCCTCTCCAGCGCATTTCCAACTTCCTGCTCTCGGGATGCCTTAGAAGGCAATGCAGTAACACGAGTTGTGGGCCTCCGTAAGATCTCATCTGTTGCTGAACGTCTTTTGCTTCAATTCCTTAATCTCATGCAGGAAACATCAGATCAGATTAATCTACCCAAAGAGCAGCCAGGCTCTTCCCCAGACTTCTGCTGAGGTCTGGCCATTGGTACAGAGAGCTTTACTATCAGGGGACTCAAAGGGCCAATAAAGTATCTTAACAAAAAAACAACAGAGAGAAGCGAGACTCAAAAGCAGAAGGAAAACAAAGGTGCACTGTTTGCCAGAAAGCTTGCAAATCCTGGTTTGCCTTTCGGTTTCCCTCTTTCCCCACGGAAACCTGGCTGGGACGGTGGCCTGTTTTACTGGGCAAGGAACAAACCAGGAGAGCCACATTCATTTGACGCAGGAAACTATATTTAAGACTCTCCGCGGTTCAACAGTGAATTTCAACAACCCGTGGTTGCAGAACTTGTTATTACATACCTTCGCTAACCACACTGAATGGAGTTGGCCATATTTAGACTACCATGACAGGTGCAGTTTCGTGAAGTCACATGTGATGTCTGAACTGAGCCTTTGCCCCAGAGTGGAGGGACTTTGCTCGGAGCCTTCCGAGCATCTTCAGCTGCTTCCCCAGGTAGCTCTTTGGCTTGCATCGTGTGTGCTGAGTGCTGTCAAGTTGCTTCTGACTCAGAGTGACCCTATGAATAAATGACTTCCAAAACATCTTAGCCTTGCTCAGATCTTGCAAACTGAGGGCCTTTGTGGCTTCCTTGGTGGAGTCCATCCATCCCATGTGGGTCTTCTTCTTTCCTTGATGCCTTCCACGTCTCCTAGCAATGTTGTCCTTTCCACTGACTCTTGTCTCCCCATAACGTGACCAAAGTATGATAGCCCCAGTTTAGTTCTGTTAGCTTCTATGGAGAGTTCAGACTTGATTTTATCTAGAACTCACTCATTTGTCTTTTTAGTGAACCATGGTATCTGTAAAACACCCCTCGAACACACTCGCATTAACATCATCCAAATTTCTAACTTCGTTGGTGCCTCCCCCCCCCCTTCTGATGAGCGATTTGTTGATCCCGAGCTCGTGCCTGAGTGACAGATAAAGAGACAAGGGGATCTGAGGCTCTGTCAGCCACAAGTGCCTGGTGCTGTAGCTCAGTAAAGGGGTCATAACGAAGATGTACTCTGTAAAGTTCTCGAATACATGAAGTTGTGTTCTCTGAAGTTCTACACCAGGAAGAAGCATCCTCGGCTGGCCTGGAACATACACTGGCATTGGTTGCATGTTTAAAGGTGTTGCTTTGTATCCCGGTAGAGTCGACGTGGCCAATCGCCTTGAGAAGAGCCTCCAGCAGGGGAGAGACCTGCTTTCTGGCTATGAAAACAAGCTGGCCATCGAGAATACGATCCCTGAAGACATCCGAGCCCTGGACCGCAAAGAAGAGGAGCTGCGGGTGAGCGCTTGCTTTTTGTGTGGCTCGTTCGGAACGTGACAAGGTTTCTAGGTACCCCCGATTTAACAGGACAGTCAGAAAAACTTTACCATGTCCCCCAAAGGGGAAATAAGGAATCCTTGGCTGCAGTAGGGAATAGCTTCTGACTATTATGAGATAGCGCATACGAACGGTTCCCTGGACTACACCACATCCAGATGTGGCCAAAGGGGGTGGTGGGTCATATGATTCAACGTTCCCCCACATGGTTTTAAAAAAGAGGAGTGTTCATAAAAATAAAAACCTTCCATGTACAGAGGCAGCAATCAGGGGGAGGGCCTTGGCCTCTATGCCCAGGGCATTTGGTTGGCCGGCGTGTCTGAAAGGATGCTGGACTTGATGACCCACTCGTCTGATCCAGCAGGGCTCTTCTGATATTCTAAAAACTTAGCGAGTCAGAGGGAAAGGGATGTTGAGAGGAACACCACGTACCACGTCCAGTGCTCCCTCTAAGCTGCGGAGTCTGGTGAGCAAAAATCCTACTCGGTGAGCCACCGGCATTGAAGCGGCGAGCGAGCGATTGGGCTGCTGCAGAAATCAGTTTGCTCCGGAGCCCTCCTTCCTGAGCTGAGACAGAAATGGGTGAGCCGGAGACTAAAAAACTGAGCTAGCTTAGAGGGAACATTGACCACGTCATGAACTCATTGAACACACATGAAGCAGCCTTGTACCGAATCAGACCCTTGGTCTATCGAGGTCAGTATCGTCTACTCGGACTGGCAGCAGCTCTCCCGGTTCTCCCCTATGACCAGATCCTTTTAAACGGGAGACGGAGATTGAACCTGAGACCTTCTGCACACTAAGCAGATGCTCTGCCAACGAGCCACAGCCTCTCTCCTCCTACAGTAGTTCCGAACAGATATGAAGCTGCCATCGGCTGAGTCTCTCAAGGCTGGTCATCTCTACTTTGACTGGCAGGGGCTCTCCAGGGTCTCGGTCGGAGGCCTTTCATACCACCTGCTGCCAGATCCTTTCCACTGGAGGTGTCGGGGATCGAACCTGGGGCCTTCTGCAAGCAAAGCAGATGCCTTATCACTGAGCAGTGGCCCCTGCCCCAAATCAAGAGGGTTACATTCACAGCAAATGGACAAGCCCTCCTGGACGCACCCGGGTGCAAACACAATGAAGCCAGGAAGCTAATCGGTACTGTCCTCTCCCTCACCAGATCCTGGGTTCTGAGCTGCAGGCCCAGCGGCCTCTTCTGAATGAGGCAGAGCAAGATTTGCAGAGGGCCAAGAAATGCTCCAGCACCCTGGCCAGCCGGTTCCAGGAGCACTGCCCAGACATTGAGCGCCAGGAGGCTGAGATCCACAAGCTCTTGGTTCAGCAACCTCGGCAAGCAGATTGATCACAGGTGAGGGTTCGAGCTGGAGCCAAAAAATAAAAGGAACAGCAAACTGATGGGTAGTGATGGCAATGGAAGGCAGGGGAATTGAGGGCGGGGAAAACTGATTTGCAAAAGACACACCTCTACTTAATAGATCTCTGTGTGTATTTGGAAAAAGAAATGGCAAACAAAGGGGAAGCAATGGCAATGGATGGCAAGGGAACTGAGGGCGGGAAAAACCGATTCGTAAGAGATACAATTCTGTTTAAGGGGGTCTCTCTGTGCGTGAGCATTTGAAAAAAAGAATGGCAAACCAAAGGAAAACAATGGCAAAGGAAGGTGGGGAACTGAGGGTAGGGAAACTGATTTGTAAAAGATTCAGTGGGTCTCGGTTTATTTGAAAAAAGGGAATAGGAAACTAAGGGGAAGTGACGGCAATGAAAGGCAAGGGAATCGAAGGCAGGGAAAACTGATTTGTAAAAGATGCACTTCCATTGAATGGGTCTCTGTGCATGTGTATATACATATATTTGTAATATTTATACCGTGTCCCCCAAAAGAAGGCCCAATGCAATATACCAACTAAAAATAAAATTTTCTTTTTTTTAAAAAAGGCACATCATTACCAGGCACAAAAGCAGCTTCAAAACAATCCAGTTGTCATGACTACAGTTAATTGTTGGGAGCAATTTCCCTTCTTCAGCCTCCTCTCAAGGGAAGAGAAATTCCACCCTCCAGAGTATCTCAAGGGGTGTCTCTTGGGCAGGGTTTTTAAGGAAGCTGTGCAATATGGTTAGTCCTGCTGACAGAATCCGAGAGCTTGCACGAATTTTTCATGAAGTGGCTAAATCCCATGTTTCTAGACAGGGACTACCTAGCCATTTTAATTGTCATTCTTCCCAGGAACTCTGGGCAAGTATGTGGCTCCCCCCCTCCCCCAGCTTGTCTTCACAACCACACTGTGAGGTAGATTACACTGCAAGAGAGTGTTCTGAGGTCTTTCAGTGTGAGGGGGTTAAACCTGGCCCGCCCAGGTCCTCGCATAACACTAAATCCAACCCTCAGCCGAGCCAGAACCAGGGATCATTTCGTAGAAAGAGGTGGAGCTCATTAGCATACCTTATTTGCATATGCCACACCCCCTGGCATCACCGGAAGTGTATCAGAAGGCAACACCCACCGCTCAGGCTCCACTGGACTGTTTTGGATTGCTAGCTATTGGGGGG